CTTCACATTCCTATGACCTAGCCTAGTTTTACACACAAAATAAGTATTAATAAAATGTTTGTAAAATAAAATTGCGTGACGGTGGAGGAGGGGGAAGCTACACTGAGTCCTAGCATCCAAAACAAGGATAGTAGCCAAGTTTTATTTTTACTTTCTCAACGTGTCTAACATCCAGCATCTATCCTTTCCTTACACTGACATCCCACTGATGTAGACCCTTATTTTTTTTTAACCTAAACCAACTATAACAATTTCCTAATTAGCCTTGTTGCTTCTGGTTCATCTGTCGCACTGGTGCCCAAGTAATTTTCCTCACACATTACTACTATCTCATCAGTCCTCCACTCAAAAAATTTTCAGGAGTTCTTAATTGTCTACATGAATAAATGAAGCCTTATATAAAGTACAGTATAAGCTTATCACATTAATACTGGCATTCAGAGCTCTTCACAATCTGACTTCAATGAACCCATTCAACCATTACTTATACTTGATGTACTCACAAGTCCAGCGAAACTAGACAACTTTCTAAAATTGCCCAATCTAGTTCTATCTTCTTTAGCTCTTTGTTTTTACTCATGGCACCTATAATGCCTGGATATTGTACCTTCATCCCTTTTGTGTCTACTGATGTCCTTTCCAAAGGAAAGGTGTCAGTTGACACCTCTTTTTTTTTTTTTGGCAAGACAATCAGAGTTAAGTGACTTGCCCAGGGTCACAAGGCTAGTAAGGTCAAATTTGTGAGGTCAGATTTGAACTCAGTTCCTCCTGACTCCCAGGTCAGTGCTCTATCTACTGTGCCACCTAGCTGCCCCTCAGTTGACACTTTCTTAAAAGTCTCTCTCCACCTCCCCCAACATCACCTATATAGACAAACACAGGCATACACATAGAGGCATAAATGTCCATTGAATCTAATATAGTTTATAAAGGGCATCAAATGTCTGCCCCATCTGTGCCTCAGTCTAGCAATTGCCTCAGCTTCCTGTTTCTGAAAAAAAAAAAGATGATTTCTGATCAGCCTGTGATACTCTCTGCTATAATGGAAACCATCTGATCCATTCACTCCTCTAAGATGGGTGTGACTTTTCCTTTATGAAAGTAATAAGTTTCCACCCTCTCAGTCTAACATCACTGACACTCGGTTGGCATTGGCTTCAAATAGGCAATGGCTACTAATATTTTCATTTTCACTTTTCTGTCTCCCTATCAACTAGCTAATAATCCAGGAAAAACAATTTTAGATTGGGATGACTCATTATGTGAAGTAAACCTCTGGTGAAACAAAATTCAAAGTTCAGATTTTCATACATATAATCTAACTTGGGGCTCATATGGGACCAGCTGGGCAAACTACCCGGTGAGCAGCCAGGATGAAAGTTTTATTTGATCTATTTCCTTAATATCTCCAAAAGGTCAGATGCGCTACACAGTTTTCTTTTTTCCTTACTGGACCTTTACTGGTCAGTCTCTTGTTAAATTGGTTTTAAGGCTATTACCTTTAGCTATTAGTTGCATAGTTAATATATACATGTTTATTATGTACAATTCAAGCATATATTCTTTTTAAAAGTCATAGTCAAAATATACCATCTATTAGGAGCTAATTATCTTTTTATATTGACAAGTGCTTGTTCCTTTGAGGACATTCTGGCTTTAATGTTCATTTTTTTCTACTAAGTGTGTAGCCTCCAGGATATTTCTGTGGTTTAATTTGATTAATGAACTCTGTCACGCAGAACTAAGAAACCAAGAGGTTAAGAATTTTCTTGTAAAGAAAATGTAAACTTCATTAGAGTACTATGTTTTACAGTGTTTGAGATACCAACGACATATTACTTATGTGGCAGTCAAAAGTCTATTGGACAAGGAGTCAGAAGATCTGAGTTGCATTTGAATGTCTACCACTTATTAACTGTGTCATCTTGAGAAAGTCGCATAACTTCTCTAAACCTCAGTTTCCTCATCTGAAGAATGGTGGTTTTGGACTCTTAGACCCTTTCAAACTCTAAAATTATAAGAATTTATGAGTAATTTCTATATTATAAAGGAAGATGAATGCCTCCCAACAATCAGTGAATTTATTTACTCATCTAGAGAGTAAATCTAAATGATTTAAACTGTAATTATTTTCATGAAGTGTTTTGAAATGTTGATCCACAGATTGATTCATCAGCATAGGTCCTTGTCCTTCAATGCAGATGTCCTCTAAGACTTTTCATGATGTGATTCCTATACTTGACCCCCTCCCCAAAACACACACACACAAACACATGAACACTAAGTCTTTTAAAGAAGACTCATCCATCCAGTATCCTGGAGGGCTTCGTCTTGTTTGTTTAATATATTAGGATTCTAACGTAACACTAGGATTCTCCATCTGTTGTTACTAACTGTCACTTTGGGAGCAGCCTATTAGTGCAAAACACATCCTTGATGTGCTTTATACTATGCATAAGTCACTACTGGTAGCATGTAGCAGTCTATACTCTAGTATGTATTTCCATTGTCCTTAGGATCACCTGCAATTATGAATTTTCTGAGATCATGATGGCCTAAAAGTTCTTACCATATAATGTCACTCATAGAATTCAGACATGTGGGAAATGGACTTTTGCAACAGTAAATAGATTGGAATAGAAAGTGTTGCAGAGTTGGCCAATTATGATCTAACTCAGTTGTGTCTCCTCCTCAGTTTTTTTTTTTATTTTTGTCAAATTAGTCAGTCAAAGAGTTTTTATTGTTTTTTTCACTTTTTTATTTTATTTTAAATTTATAGAATAAAACAAGTATAAATTCCTTTTTAAATATCCCTTTTAAACATATAATAAAGTTATCATGTAAATTTTATCTGTTCACCCCCCCCACCCAGAGATGGCTACCATTTGACACAAATATGTATATAAAATATGTAAAATCATTCTAAACATTCTTCTATTTATCAGTTCTTTCTCTGGATGCAGATGAAATCTTCCTGCATAGGTCCTTTGTAGTTCATTTGGGTTTTCATAATACTCAAAATGACCCATTTGTTCAAAGACATTCTTTTTTTATTTAATTTATTTATTTTTAGATTTCAACATTCATTTCCATAAGATTTTGAGTTCCAGATTTTCTCCCCATCTTGTCCCTCCCCCCACCCCAACATGGCATTCATTCTGAGTACCCCATCTCCTATTCTGCCCTCCCTTCTTTCTCTCCCCACCTTCTCTTATCTCCTTCTCCTTCTCCTCCAATCTTCCTGCAGGGCAGGATAGATTTCTATACCCCATTTCCTGTATATCTTATTTCCCAGTTGCATGTGAAAACATTTTTTTACTTTGTTTTTAAAATTTTGGGTTCCAAATTTTCTCCCTTCTTCCCTCCCCACCCACCCTCATTAAGAAGGCAAGTAACTCGATAAAGGTTATACATGTGTAGTCATGCAAAACACTTACATAGTAGTCATGTTGTGAAAAACTAAGTATATTTCCCTTCATCCTTTCCAGTCGCCCATTTATTCTATTCTCTCTTTTGACCCTGCCCCTCCTTAGAAGTGTTTGCTTCTGATTACCCCCTCCCCCAATCTGCCCGCCCCTCTATCATCCCCCTGCTCTCTTGCCCTCTTCTCCCCAATTTTCCTGTAGGGTAAGATAGATTTCTATACTCAATTGAGTGTGTATGTTATTCTCTCCTTAAGCCAGATCCTGTGAGAATAAGATTGACTCATTCCCTCACCTCCGCCCATTTCCCTTCGACTGTGAAAGCCTTTTCTTGTCTGTTTTATGTGAGATAACCTACCACATTCTGCCTCTCCCTTTCTTCTTCTCTCTGTATAATCCTCTCTCACCCCTTAATTTTATTCTCCTGATATCACCACTTAATCTTCAACTCACCCTGTGCCCTCTATCTATCTATCTATCTATCTATCTATCTATCTATCTATCTATCT